AGATGACGTCATATCCGGCCTTTGGTCCATTGTACACTCATAATTCTTTTAATGGTCCAAATGCTAATATAATATTGGATCATTTGAACTAGATATGTCACACATGTGTAAGAAACGTTAATTATCTGTTAAAATGTGTCAATTATAATATTCAGACTATCTTCGTGTATCAAATAAAACTAGATATGTGTCATTAATATGTACATGTAACTGTATATAAATTGTAAATATATTTGTAGAAGCGCATTTTATTCAACTTTATGGTTTGGATTTATAAATAAGGGACAGTGAATGTCATCTTTTTTTTCCCTGAACACATGTTGCCGAGTGATTCCAGATGTGTACGCGACAAGCCTGGAAATATAGTCCACTAAATGTTGTTGATGAATTATATATCTTCAGTATGTGTAGATTCAGAATACGGATGATGCCACCTTGGCACCCTTGGGGAAATTGAAATATTCAAGGTGGCCGACATTAGTTATTTTCTGGTTATTTAGTAGGGTAAAATATGCGACGACTCTCTCGGACCTCGGTTTTTAGATAGTTCCTGTAAGATTTCGATCCGCTGAATCCAATGAGCTTGGGTATTCCTCCTCAAAGTGATGACTAATTCTTCTAAGGGGCCCAATTCACAATGTGGGCTCATTTTGGGGGGAAACTCATAATGTTCCCCTAAAAGGTGTGTAATATATTGAAATAAACTGGTTTATTAGTTCAGGTTTATGGAATGAAAATACACAACTGAATTAATTAATTGTAAGGAATTTATTCATACGTAAAACCAATAATTAACCCTCTAGACCATCGGATGATTGTGAATTTGAACGTTTTGAAGATGTTGCCGAAAATGTACCATCCTTAGACGGATTGATCGTTTCCAGTGGACCAAAGTCCTGGGGCCAGTCGAAGTATTATGGCAGTATATTAGATTCAACATTCTTTCGTGCTATCGTCTAACTTCTATTCATGTAATTTCTAATCTAAGAAAACGTATAATTTAATCTGTTTTATTTGTTTCGCTTCTAATCTTGCAATTTTTTAAATTCTATTTCATGTTATCTCTATTATAGCAAAGACATTTTTTCTTTTCAACGACGCTTTACATGTTTTGAATAAACATCAAACAAGTTTAGATACTTTCACCTAGCAACCATCATTATGACATCGTTTGGTATCGCCAGTGCTTGCGAATCTATCCGCACAGTACGGAGAACGCTAGATCATTAATATAAACGGCTCATGCATTCGGAGTTCTTTGGTAGACCGAGTTGAACAAAGATGCCGTTAGCTTATCTATTATTTCCAAACACTATAAGCTTATAGTTTTGTGCGATAATATAAATTTAAAAGTTGTCCTTGAAGAGCATTAACAATATTAGATCCTATCCCATATTTGTTTGATTATCGTAAAGAAAGTTAATATTTGTTTGATTATCGTAAAGAAAGTTAATATTTGTTTGATTATCGTAAAGAAAGTTAATATTTGTTTGATTATCGTAAAGAAAGTTAATATTTGTTTGATTATCGTAAAGAAAGTTAATATTTGTTTGATTATCGTAAAGAAAGTTAATATTTGTTTGATTATCTTAAAGAAAGTTAATATTTGTTTGATTATCTTAACCCTCAACCAATTAGAAAGGACCTCATCCAGATATATATTCTAGTTTTAAGTTTTAATCAATAAAGCCGAAATAGATTGGGAAGAAGAGGTTGGGGCACTGCTTTCTGAATTGGATTAGTCCTGGTTACTGCTAATATTGTTTTATTAATTAGGACTATATACCTATCATTTAGGAGCCACGGTTGAGGTCGGGTGTTGGATCCCTGCATTGAAAGTTCATCCAGATTTTCCGGCGAGGTCCCCCCTCCCCCATCAGTGGTGCAGGAAAGAGGGCCTGACAAGAGACACTGCACAGTCGTTCGGATGGGACGAAAAACCTAAGTCACATAGGCGTGCAAGTAAAAGATCCTTTAGAAGTTGGAATTCGATATAACAGTGGGTCGTAGTGCCACTGTCCGGGCATAATTACCCTCATAGCACACTGTATGGCGCATGCCAGTCTTCATAAGCCCAGTCGGAACAGAACAGTAGGACGTAAAACCCTATAATAATACCAAGGTGAGAAACAGGTTGGAATTAAATAATTGTGATCAAAGTTCATTACTCTAGATTCCGTCAACCAGTGGCAATACTCACTAAATTTCGCTAGGTAGACAATCGAGTCTACGATGACTTTTTAATATTATCCACGTGACCCTCTTTAAGTCACGTGCGATATTCGTGCATATCGCATCGTATCGTCCTGAATTATGCCCCTTGATTGTACGAAAAATCGCTTGGTTTTTTTAGCTTGTTCTCTATCCATCTCTTGCAAAATTTCTGCTTGGCAGCAGCTGGTATATAGATAAAGCTACTGGTGTGCTTATATTACAGTGCCTGGCAAACTACCATTTCTTTATGCATCATCAGACGTGTGTACGGATTTAGAAATTAAGTTTTTGAAGACACATGTTCGTATAGACATTTTTTTTATCATACAATCAATTACCTCATTAAATATTCTAAAGAAATCTATCATTTCTGTTTTACCTTGGATAAACAACAAAACTAGGGCATAACAGTAAAATTCTATAAAATTCTTCAACGTTGAAAAATATTAAAGGTGATTCGGGGAAAAACAATGTCTATGTTCATAGTGATGTAAAGATACTGTCAATAAATTGTATAAGTTCAAAACATTGGTCTAAGGTATTTGCACTCACACCAACAGAAAACTAATCCGTTCCTTGGATTACAAATGGGTTCGATTGGGTTATGGGGGTATAGAATCAATCAATTTAAAGAGGCCTACTGCGGGGTCTTTTTCTAGCTTCAAATATTATATAAATTATTATTAAGACTCTCTTCTTTCTTGACTATAGTGTGGTCGAGATATTAAATGGATTAAAACACACGCATCATTTAATAATTTAACGTTTAAATAGATATCGAGACATTGAATATTATCGTAGCAATGATATTTAACAACCGAGACTACTAGTATTTAGGCTGAATGTGGTTAAAACTTCCAACATGCATGACATCGTTCCGAATAAAGTAATTTTGTGAAACAGGGGAAGGTTGCCAACCCAACCATCAAATTATTTTTGAGCTCGAGACTAGAAAATACGAGATGGTGAACTCGTAATTTTTCTATCCCCCCCCCCCCCCCGCGAAAAAAAGAAAAAAAAAAGAAAAAAAAACACCAAAAAACAAAACAAATTACATGAATCGAAAGTAGCTAGGGGTGAGTCAAAAAAGACTTTCGAAGGTTTTTCAATATTTGATTCGCATCGCCGACTTGTATTTTAGAAACTGTGTCATTTTATTTAATCGATACGATTTTCAAAGATACTCTCCCGCCTACAAACTGTGTGATTTGATGATATTTTTGGACTAAAAACATATCCAAACTAATTAATCTATCAACAATTTGCTTCGGGACTCTCTCAAAACTTTGTATTCGCGGAGAGATACCTACAGCTATGAAAAAAAAATCTGTTTTTAGAAGCCATGTTTGTCAACTAACTTGATTGAGGGGATGGGGGGGGGGGGGGCTCCATTTTCCAGAACATATTTGTCATTACTCACTGTCCATTTACCATACATATTGATGCCTAAGTAAATTTTTGAGTTAATTTCTGTCAACTACACTTTCCACCGTTTACTTACAGAGTCTGTTATATGTTTACAACCCGCCCCCACTGTTCCCAAAACCGCCTAACCATTCGATCAAGAAATAATAACCGCTCCCTCAGTCAAGATAGCATACAATAATGCGCCAGGTGGCCAGTTAGTGATACCCAGACATTTTGCCCAGTGCTTGCCCCATGGGTGTCTTTCGGGTAATCCCGTATTTTTATAGTGAGATTGGGCGTCTATACTTTCCATAATAATATATACCAAATTTGCCATACTATTACTGGAAATAACCACCCGATAAATACTTTCGTAACATGTATCTTCAAAACAAAAAGAAATATCTCTGTAGAAAGGTAGGAAATGCAAATTTGAACAGGTGAATGATTACGCGTTCGAAAAAGTAGCCTATATAATGTAAGGTATGCCAGGGACGAAATCCATGTCAAAAATTTAAAAACAGGAAATGACAAACCACTGGAACTTATCGCTCTTACCTGGGAGCGGCGGTGGCTCAGTTAGTATAGCACCTGGTTCACAAAACTGGCGTTGGCTGAGAATGATCTTAGCGATTTTCCCGTCTGGGGTACCTTGCAAGGAATAGCGTATAGTCCTTCGAATGGCAGAAAAAAACGAAGTCCACCCTTGAATTCGTTGGCTAGCAAAGCTGTGATTCGATGAAGAGTGGGCGGAAACATAATGTAGGTACGTGTAAGACTTCAGGATGCTAAAGGGTCATTATACAAAGAACGTATATCATGACACAATCTAATTCAAATAGTTTGTAGCACAAAAAGTCCGACCCGTATCGTGTAGACTTACTTATACAGAATCCAATTATATTTAGTTGTCAATAAACAAAAACACCACGATAGATGGTATAAGGTTTCATCTGATTGGATTGCATTGTCTCAGTTTCAACAAGCACAGAGTGGAATTATTGACGAGAACAATCCGGACCGTAATTCCGATGTAATGGCGAATGAGAGAATGTGATGGTAACTGTTCAGTAGAAATATGGTTAACTTTACCTGTGTACCTTTAATTAAATAACAGGTATACATGAATCCTACCTTAATTAGACAATAGGTGAATATGAAGATGACCTGTAAGTGAATGACCACTGATTTATGTACAAGTCAACAATAAACTCTAGTTTCTCTGTTCATTAACAACGATCAACATCAACAATTTGTGATCAATATGTCGAATTATGTTAAAAGCCTTTTTATGTGAAACCTCTTTAATCAATTCGCTAATACAAGGACAATCAGATCGTAGCTGTGAGTCTAAAGTTCCACTTAACTGTCTTACATCCAGATCAGGAACATTCAAATATCTCTGTTAGTGTATGGCTATATGACATTTTGTGGGTAGCGATTTTTAAAAAAAAATGTTTTATACAAATTTGTTCCTGATATTTGTAGCACAATGGACTACTTCATCAACTGGTAGGCTAAGTATTTTATTGTTTTAACATTAAATTTTAACAACACCGGGTCTTATGTACAGAAAGTGTTATGTGCCTACTCTTGTATGTTTTTACTTAGAGTTTAAAAAGTTTGGGGTTTTGTCGCTTTTTAAAAGTTCTTTTATGTTGTAATTTAGAGTGATTCCGAGCAGTGACATAGCTATCATTAATTTGAGGAGTGCAGGCCCGGCGGAGTTCGGGGTGGGGGGGGGGGCTTTAGCCCCCTAATAATTTAGCCGCAAGTTCTCTTCTCTCCCGGTTATTGCACGCATGTAGCCATTCAGTTAGATACAGTGACGTAAATGGAAGAGACTTGATTTTAATATAGAAGTGAGACGTCTAGAAGTAGAACGTAGTCTTTCAGAAGAAAAAACCCTGCCATTCACTATACTGATCACCGGGTTATGAGCCCCCAGTTTACTGAGCAGTCGAATATTTCATTCCATCCCATTTCCGTTGTATCTATGACAGATTGGCTAATTAAAACACGACGGGATAGAGTTTTTCTAACATTCTATAGCAGGGGCTAAAGCTCTACAATGGAAGGTTTCATGTTTACCAAAGTGAAACTCATCCAAGAACTTTTGATCACATTTTGCGTAAAAGGCATTTGGCATAACTCCAGAACGGAAGGTCCGATGCGCACCAAACTTGAACTTAACTAAGAACTAGTGCTACTTAAACAGTAAATTGTTTCAGCCTTGGTATTACACACTTTTACACTTTTTCCGTAAATGGGAGCGGCCCTTTGACAGGAAATTTCGGTCCGATTTTCAGGAAATTCGAACTCAACCATAATTATGGTGTAACTGTGATATATATGAGCGATTTTCAAATAAGACAAAAAATTGCTATCTCTAGAGGATTCACAAGCTACAAACGTGATTTTTCATACAATCAGGGTCCATAATCCAGAAAGTTACGGTCCGATAAGCACAAATCGGAAATAAATTGTGACCCCTAGATAGTCCACGACAGGGCAACCCTCGATTGCACGGATTTCCTACTCTAGTCGAACTTCTTGCATGCCAATGAGATTTATTTCAACCCCGGGCGTACCATGCGATAGAACACGGTCGAGATAGTTCAAAGATAGCTGAAAAGACTGACACGTGTGTAGATTTGTCTCCAAAATATCATAAAGTTGCCAATTGCCAATGCGTTATTTACACCATGGATCGCATTTCAAGGTTCATGGTAACACCCGGAAACTGTGGTATATTTGAACGGTTTTTACAATCAATAAAAATTATGATCTCTAGAGGGCCCACAAACTAATAGTAGTGTGATTTTTCGTACAATCATGTGCCATAATCCAAGAAGTTACGATCCGATATGCGCCAATATCGACAGGGTCCTTTGTGTTATAAACATACATTGTAAGTTTTATCAAATTTGGATCAAAATTGTGACCTCTAGAGTGTCCACAACGCATATATTTGTCCAGTTCAGCATCACAGGAAATCACCATCGTCTGCAGTGCTTTCATGGTAAGGGATTAAAAAACATAAAAACTTCAATGCTGAGTGATTTTACTCGCCAGAAATCGCGTAGAAAGCTTCTGCGACGATCTAGACGTCCCTGAACCTTCGCCTAAAGTCTTAGAACGGTATTCCCCCACCCCAACAAATCAAAAATCGCTTCCGCCGATTGTTCGAGAAAATAATGGGAGTTACTGAGCTTATATTCGGTATTTATAGAAAAAGTCATCTCATCTATGATACACTGTTAAAAATAAATGTAAAATTACAGTGAAAAATATAAAGTTTCTTTAACATAACGCTGTAAAAATACCACTGCTTGTTTTTATACCACCAATTTTACTGTATTAGTGCGGAAACATGGGATTACTGTAAAAAATTTTTTTAGGAAATTAACAATAAAAGTCTAGTTAGAAGTGTATTTTTATTACATGTAATCTGTATTGAAACAACTATGTTGGTTAAAAGTACATGTATGTTGTACTTTAACTGTTTTTATGAGTAATTCTACTATTCAAACATGTTTAAATACGGGATTTGTGTACAATTTACAGGAAACGTGTAATTGTACATCTCTTTAGAACTTTAACATTGATAGACCCTTTAAGGCTTCATTACTTTTCGTCTATACTTTAGTCCACTTATGAGGGGGTCACGGTGGCTAAGTGGGTAAAACACAGGCTTGCTAGCCTGGAGGTCGGGTGTTCGATCCCTGCATTGGCCGAGAAAGTTCATCCAGATTTTCCGGCGTGGTTCCCCCTTGTCCGGAGAGCCGGACAAGGATAGCTGTCTAGTCGTTCGGATGGGACGAAACACCGAGGTCCCGTGTACAGGTTGGTCTGCACGTAAAAGATCCATATTAAACTGTTAAACTTATATGTATATTTACAGTTATAAGTATACTTGAAATACAGTGTCCGATTTGTAATATCACATTGTTTGTTAACTTACATTTAAAACGATGTAAATGCATATGAATACAAAGCTTATGTAAGATTACATCAAACTTAATGTAGAAATACAACCATATGTCACCGGGGAAAGATCCCATGAATCCTACCAATTATTGTCCGATCGCTTTGATTAGCTGCATTTGCAAAACCATGGAGAGATTGATCAATCGAAGGCTTGTTTGGTACCTTGAGTCCAACAACCTCATTACAGACCTCCAATGTGGATTTCGGTCCCAAAGGAGCACTCTTGATCATCTCGTTCGATTTGAAACGTTTATCAGGGATGCTTTCATCCAGAAACAACATTTAGTAGCTATATGTTTTGATCTGGAGAAAGCTTATGATACCACATGGAAATATGGTATCATGCGCGACCTGCAAAACCTCGGTTTGCGGGGTCGCTTACCTATCTTCATTAAAAATTTCTTAGAAGATAGGTCGTTTAAGGTACGCTTGGGATCAATATTCTCTGACCCATTTCCCGAGGAAATGGGGAGTCCCTCAGGGAAGTATACTATCTCCCACTCTATTTTCCATCAAGATAAATACCATACCATCGTGTCGACGGCTCTCTTTATGTTGATGACTTTCAGATGTGTTACGGATCGACAAGTATGCAGACAATCGAACGTCAGTTGCAGCTTTGCTTGAATTCTATTCAACGATGGGCAACTGACACTGGATTTCGATTTTCGAAATCCAAGACTGTTTGTATGCATTTTTGTCAACGAAGAGGTTTACATCCTGATCCGGAACTTACACTGGATGGAAGCCCCATTCCAGTTGTAGATGAAACAAAATTCTTGGGTTTGATATTTGATAAGAATTTATCATTTATCCCCCATATCAAAACCCTCAAAAACAACATATTGAGAGTCTTATCAAACAATGACTGGGGAGCAGATCGTAAGGTCCTGCTCAGATTATATCGAGCATTAATAAGATCTCAACTCGATTATGGATGTATTGTGTATGGGTCAGCCCGTGAGTCTCATCTCAAAGAGCTTGACACCATACACAACCAAGGACTTAGAATCAGTTTAGGAGCATTCCGAACATCTCCAGTGCAGAGTTTATACGTCGAGGCGCACGAGCCCTCATTGCACGACAGACGTGATAAACTTGCACCGCAGTATGCTACAAAAATTGCATCTCTGCCTCATTATATTTCACTTAACACCATATTTAGACCCTATCATGAACATCTATATTTACTGAAGACTAATGTTGTTCCATCCTTCGGTATTCGCATTCAACCCCTTTTGTCTCAGGCTGGTATCAGTCAAGACAGTATTGCGAATACCCCTTTCTTTGAGACACCATCGTGGTCTATATCTCCTCCCAAGATTGATCTCGATCTTACAATAAATAAAAAGAAAGATACTAGTTCCACGGTGTTTCAGTCTCTATTCAGGGAGTTAAGGTCTAAATATGGTGATTATGCTCCAATTTATACAGATGGTTCCAAAGATGGCGATCGGGTAGCTTCGGCTGCTGTCACGCCATCTGACACGATTTCTGTTCGTCTTCCTCCTGCTGCTTCCATATTTACTGCTGAACTCCAGGCCATCTTTCAGGCTTTGGAGTATATCAAACCCTCTTCATCATTAAAACACATTATATTTACTGATTCTTTGTCATTTTTACAGGCAATAAACAATAAGCAGCTTGTACACCCTTTGGTAGCAGACATTTATCGTCTGCTACTATCACACGAGTTTAACAGGAAGGACACCGTCCTTTGCTGGCTCCCCAGTCATGTTGATATTAAAGGGAATGATCAAGCAGACTTAGCTGCCAAGTCTGCTTTAGATCTTCCCATGTCATAATTTCTTTTACCTTTCACCGATTTTAAATCGTCCATTAATTTATTTATATATGGCCGCTGGCAACGGTCTTGGGATCTTGCAGACACAAACAAACTTCATCACGATCTTTTAGAGGCATTTAGTAACTGGATAGAGCAATAAACTATAACACATCGATAGTTGATTATGTATGGCCTTGGAAAGTTAATTACGTTTAATAAAAGTCTAATAAAGGCAGATTTAGCTCTTACATAATTGTGTATTTAAATAATCGGTACTAGGTATAACAACGGACCGAAACATATTTTTAGCTCGGTCGTTTAGACGTTAATAAAATGTAAGAGATTTGCGCATCCGGGACCTGTTTCACGAAATTTTAACTAAGATAAATCCAAATTTTAGTAATTTGATTGGATAATATTAGATTGATTTTAGTGCTTAGCCAATCAAAATTGAAGTATCTACTTAAATTTGTATTTTATATTAAGTTAAGATTTTGAGAAACAGGGCCCCGATCTGATGGATGTTTGGAATGTAATTTTAAGATGAACTAGGTTATCTTTTACTTCGCTGCGCCGGGTATAACTTTTTTTTACATATAAACTCCTCATTTTTGGTATTTTTAAAATATAACTTAAAAAAAGAAACCACTAAAAATTGGAATTTATTTATTTTATTTTTCAGTTTCAGCATGCACGAAGTTTACTGATGAGCCAAATTTAATTGCTACGGGCATGGTAGAAGGAAGATGTATGTATGGTTTTTCTGTTGGTTATCAGTATAATCCTGCTAGGACTCTGTGTGAATCAGAAGGAACCCAACTTGTTACTTTACAATCTGAGACAAAACAAGAAGCGGTGTGGACAACCCTTGGTATGTTGTAGATATTCTTGTTCATAATTTCAATTTTATTTCCATAATTCGCTTGTGCGTAGATCTTCTTAAGCAGTGGAGGAAACCGAAGGACCCGGAGAAACCCATGCAGTGAAGATGGAGAGAAAGGGAGAGAAATGGGGTTTAACGTCCACTCGACACAAGCTAGGTAATTTAGGGACTAACACATGGTTCAATTATATTTCAATAATTCGCTTGCGCGTAGGGGTCTTTAGCAGTGGGGAGAAAACCCACAACGTTGGACAGGCGACCCTACTCCTTGTCAAAGTGAAGATGGAGAGACGAATCTACTCCTTACCCCTTAGCTCAAGACTGGCCTTTTGACCACTGACATGCACGATTAATGATTGTTACTATAATGCCCATATCGATTTAGAGCATTTTCGGGTAGCCACGATGGCTCAGTGAGTAAGACATTGGCTCGCTAACCTGGAGGTTACGTGTTCGATCCCTGCGTTGGCCGAGAAAGTTCATCAGAATTTTCTGGCGTGGTACAGGACAGGGGGCCTGTTAAGGGACAACGTATAGTCGTTCGGATGGGACGGATAATCAAGGCTCTGTGTACACATTGACATGCACGTAAAAGATCCCCTGGCAGTTGGATTTCGACAGGCCGTAGTACCGCTGCCCAGGAATAAAATTACTCATAGCTGACACTGTATGCCCGTCTTCATTAGCCCAGTCGGAGTAGAACAGTAGGACGTTAAATGCCATTTCACAAATATAATTCAAGAGTTATGGCCCTTGATTTACATTTCTACTCATTCCGTAGATTCTTCACTTACTTTCATAAAATTATCCACTGTAATTAGGAATCGATTAAAGACGCTGTAGATTGTTTAGTGCGTCGTTCCAGAATTATTGTCCCTGATTTATGTGATTGTACTGTCCAAATCCTGTTTATTTGAAAAGATTCTTTATTCGAGGATTTCCAAATAAAGTTATTGTAGGCTACAATCGATTGTTTCCTTTGCGCAAATGAGTCAATATTCACCCGGCAGAAACTAAATATTGCACGATGTTTAGTGTATGAATTTACACACCAACAAGAAAAACATCAACAAAAACGACGTTGTCGTAAATAGCGTTATAAGCCAAAAGATTATTAGGTAAAAGTTAAAATCGGCAGAATTTTTTAATGAAACGATAAACCCTGCAGAACGAAAAAAATATCGACATTATTTTATTGTCTAAGGAATAGATTTTCCTACATTAATGTCTTGCTAAAATAAAACAGGTTTTGGGCTAGTGATATTTCTGTATTGCAAGAAGTACATTACAAATAGAAACATATGTTTAAAGGCTCAATACCACTCTTGTTGTAACTGAATAATATGTCCAAATCTTTATTCTGGTCAACAAATTGTACTATTTTACAATATTCCAATTAATTGATGATACAAATTTCATCTTAACACACCTAATTTAAAAAATTGGAAAAATTCAACTAAATGATTTGAAAAGCCTGACGTAAAGCTTTTCAAATGTGACTTGGATTTAAATATATTTTTGAACGCTTTGGACAAGTAAAATAGGATTTAATGGATAATTTACACAACAGGTAGGACACTAACACATCTAGTACTTAGAATAAGGATATTTTTTTTATTTTCTGGAAGTGTCAAGCCAGCAAGAGTGTTATTGTCCCTTTAAATTAAAAAATCGAACAATAAATAGAACATATCCTATATACGTTATCCCCTACAGGTTCAAATTTCGGTCAGCATTGGATGGGACTGGAAAAAACAAATGATATATGGCAATGGAATGAAAATGGTGTTTTAATAGATGTGACGTCCACACGATGGGAGAATGTCCAAAGTTCAAATAATGTCGCCTACACGATGTCTTCTCAAGATAGATATTTATGGAAGATGACGAATACTGATAGTTGGTATAAACCTGTATGTGAAGAAATCTCAGGTATGTTTAAAATATAGTCTAAAAGTCAATTGAGCTTTATAAATTTAACGTGTTACTGGTTCTACCCTTTTAGAATAATTGTAATAAGTCTTGACTACAAGAAATATGACTCATGTCGCCCAATAAGCCTACTACTCCAAACTCTCGCCACTTGGGGCTGGATGGGCTCACTGACTAATGACTATATGATACATGCCCTATAAGATGGATATGTTTGGAGAGTCGATCAGTACCTTGTCCGGGGGTACACTAGTTTAGCCGCTCCAAATTTTTCGAACTCTTAATTATCTCTAATTGGCCCTTTTATACAACTGCAACATTCATTACAACTATAAGCAACAAAGTTGGTGTGGTTTTCAAGTCAACGATTTGGAAAAATTAAAACAATACATCATGGACAAAAAATAATTAGATGATTTATTTTGTTTGAGTATGTATGTCAATGGTAAATTGTATATAAGCCCATGATAAATTAAACAAATTAATTATTACAGTATTGTTGGGGGGTGGGGTGGGGGTGGCTCAGTAATTTAAACGTTGGGTCGATAACCTGGAGGTCCAATGTTCGATCCCTGTGTTGACCGAGACAGTTCCGGGGTGGCTCCCCATTGTCACTGGTGCATGGCGGAGGGGCTGACAGAGGATAACGTATAGTTATTCGACTGGGACGATAAACCGAGGACCCGTGTACACATTAGCGTGCATGTAAAAGAACCCTTAGCGGTTGAAATTCGATATAAGAGTGGGCCGTACCGCCGCTGTCCTAGCAAAATTTCCTCACAGGACACGGTATAACGTATACCCGTCTTCATTAGTCCAGTCGGAGCAGCACAGTAAGAAGTTAAACTACATTTCATTTTATTGTTACAGTAGGAATTTAAACCTAATTTCATTCGTTCGTATCCATTCATGGTTTTGCAAGTGTAATCCATAATGGCGCCAATTTTAATATTTGTAGATTGTAAAAAAAGGCTTCCACTGAAGTATCTGGAAAGTTCTAATGTTTTTTGTAAACAGATAGATTATCTTAGTGTGGAATAAATGGTAATATATTCAGAATCGTGACTGTCCAGGAAATGTGTCTTTAAAATAAATCTATGGAATTATTTAATAATTTTTGAATTCTGTAAATTTACGTAAAACTTAAACATATTTATTAAAAAAATAACTATCTTATAGATACCAGCAGCAATGCCTTTTTAGTATCGGACACAGAAACCTCAACTGTTGCGTCTCCTACTACGACTACAACACTACCAGGTAAATACAAAACATTAAACTGTTCCTGTCTTTATCAGTTATCATTAATAACGTGCTTGTTCTCAAAGTAACATGTAAAAATAAACCATCAGAACAGTCACTATTTTATTAATGGAAACACTTGGTCTCAAGTGTTCATTAAACATCTTATCTACAGAAAGATATTAACTGAACACATGTTGGTGAAGGGGGTTGAATATTATACTGAACTGAGAAATTTTAAATTGCATATGGCCGTTATGCATTTAGCCATTTTTATACACCCACATTTCATGTATTGGTACTGTGTTGTTATATTACTAGTATCTGTTCGTTTGTCCGCACGTCCACAATTCTTGTAAACGCTGAATGGTTCAGAGGTTTTGGGGTCTTTGCGGCTGTAGTCCCAGGCGAAACCCCATCGAAATTCAGTCGAAAGGCGACGATTTCCTCAAACTGCCTAGTTCTAAGTGGGAACTCTTTTGAAAATCATAGTCGCGGAACAGAATTTCGGAAAGGTGCTATCCCCGTCACCAAAACCTTGTATTTGACCTGGTTGGTTATTGTGATTTTATGAGCTTAGGTTCGATATCAGAAACTGTCAACCTGACCTGACAATCACCGGATGTTCTCTGAACATAAATTGCTGATCTAAGTGTTGTACATTATCTAAATTCTAACACATTGTTGTGTTAATTTCACCTCTTAATAATCATAGAGAGCTAATGGCTAAAAGCTAGTGTAATCGGATTGCTGAATTAAGGGCTTCCACTGAAGTATCTGGAAAGTTCTAATGTTTTTTTGTAAACAGATAGATTATCTTAGTGTGGAATAAACGGTAATATATTCAGAATCGTGACTGTCCAAGGAATGGGTCTTTAAAATAAATCTATGGAATTATTTACTAAGTTTGGAATTCTGTAGATTTGCGTAAAACGTAAGCATATTTTAACAAAATAACTATCTTACAGATACCAGCAGCAATGCTATTTCAGTAACTGACACAGAAACCTCAACTGTTACGTCTTCTACTTCGACTACGACGCCAGGTAAATTCCAATTTTTTTTAAAATTATGCCTGCCATTATCAGTTATCATTAGAACGAATTTGTTCTTAAGGTAACATGTACTTTAAAATCTGTAATGTAGAATCGTGAAACCCTAGATAAAGATGATGTTGCAATATATGGTGTAGGGCGATTAAACGTCGAGACTTTAAATAAATAAATAAAAAAAACGTCAGAAAAGCCAATACTTTATAAATGAAAATATATTTGGTCTGAAGTGTTCGTTAAACATCTACAGAAAGACATTACCTGAATACATACCCACATTTCATGTATAAGTATATTAAAATACACAACACAATCACTAGTTTATACACATTTGAAAATCGATTAGAGGTACTTGTCCAAAAGGTGTGCTATATGTGTATAAACCAGTGATTGTTTTCAATATGAATTGTTTTGTGTTTTTTAATCTGTTCAATCGATAAATGGCACTCAAGGATTATATCAGTATTATTGTTGTTACGATTTTCTATTCGCTTGTCCACACATCCATAATTCTTGTAAACGCTCAACCGTTCAGAGATTTAGGGGTCTTTACGGCGACGATTCCCAAGCGGAACCCCATCGAAATTCGGTCGAAAGGCGACGATTTCCTCCAGCTGGCTGTTCATCTAGTTCTTAGTGGGAACTCTTTTGAATATCATAGCCGTGCAACAGAATTTCGCAAAGGTACTATCCCAGTCACCAAAACCTTCTAAACGTTTTCAACGCTACTGAAGTTCAGACTCTACTGGTGAACGTATAATATTCTTTGTCTAGCAGTGCTACATGTATGTTTACATCTGGAATTGTGGCATGGTGTGTGACACTGTTGGATATATATTGAGACAATGGCACTGGTTCAAATCCCATTGTGAGTCGAGAGGAACATCTCGGATTCTCCAAGCCTGGCATTCACTTAATTGTCAAGGGCGGAATATGTTAACCCGACAAGAAATGTATGATTAGTCTTTCGGATGGTCCGAAAAAAACGAGGTCCATAGATATATGAGTTGCCAAGCATATACAAGAACTACATTTGCTGATATTAGTATTTGGCGTGGTTGGTTATTGAGATTTTATGAGCTTGGGTTCGATATGAGAAACTGTCAACCTGACCCGACAATCACAGGATGTTCTGTACATTATTTAAATTCTAACATATTCTTGCATGAAATAAAACTCCAAGTAGGGCACTATCCTACATGTTATACTACTTAATAATCATAGAGAGCTAATGGCTAAGAGCTAGTGTAATTTGAATGCTGAAGAAACACAAGACGAGTTGACAACCGTGACAAATATTAAAAACACTTCAAGATTTTCATGTACTCTCTTCTATTATGTTTTGTAATAACCCAATCCATTATAAATGTTTAGTTTTATATTCCTTCAGTATATTGATCAAGAGAAACCTAGATCTAGATCAAGTTCAGATTGTCTGACTTTATTAGTAGTAATTAGGGTTTCTAAATAAAATTTTAATGGTGTTTAACATCTCAGTGTTGTGCACCTAATGGACCAATAAAGACGGTCTAGGTTGTGCACCTAATGGACCAATAAAGACGGTCTAGGTTTTTAACTGTCTGCAAGAATAAATACACAGTTGACCCTAGCTTGACGATATATAACACTCAGCTTTAGTTTCCCTTTAAATCAGTGGTCCCCAGGTTGCGACCCTATTTATTATTCTTTTACTTATTGTTTACATTTATAAAATTGAGTGTAGTCCGCCAAGAGCCCTCGAAAAATGCTTCGCGACCCCAGTTGTCGCGACCCAGAGGTTGGGAACCCGGGTACTGAATACCAATCCATCATTAATTTCTCCCTGACCTGTCGATAATAATTTATTCTTACACAACCAGTAAACCCTCAAAATATCCTTTACAAAATTGCGGCGTAGTAATTAAAGGCAATTCACCAAGGCCCTAAGTAGGTAATATAACCGCCATGGTTATGCAGATTCCTACATCGGTTGTATTCTTCCTTTTTGAGACTCAGTATAAAATTTCCTGTGCACAATAGGGGTGATTTAACGGCGAATAACCAATGTTCTGTGGTAAATTATACCGCCAGATATATTGTCCCTAACGTTTTGTCTGCTAAATGTACGATGCAAGCTATAATTATTACGTAATTCCGAGTCACCATTCAGTGCCTAAACTTTTGAGTGTCTCCACTTTCAATAAATAGTCCTGCACAATTATCTATAAGGCCTAAAATACGTGGGCGGACGTACACCCGTGTTTTAATTATATTATAAAGTGCTGTGATCAATAAAATCATGTTATTTGTGATTAGATCAAAATTTGTTAACCGTGTGATATAAATTGATATTTTTTAATGTTTTATATAGACATCCTTGAAGCTAAGTACACAAGTTTTCTTTGTGTAGATATAGATTCGCAACTGTGACTAAGCATGGGGGCAGATATGGATCTCCAAACGTCACATGCAAAATATTTTTGTCCTGCGGCCGTCAATGTCACCACAATGTTACTGCAAAAAATGATAATCGCATTCTGCATTGGTGAATATTTCCTTTTTGTATGGCTGATATTAAACAAAGCGGGATTTTTGACCCCGCCTCATTAGATCAACGCCCAATCGTGAGAACTGTCCCCGAGTCCTGAACTTCAAGCGGCTCAACACAACGAAGTCATAAATAGTGTCAAATTATCCATGAATAATACACACACATATATATACGTCAACCGGCGTAATAAATGCCAAATTTTAATAAACTATTTTTTATGTTTTCAGGAACAAAAAAGATGTCAATTTTGTTTGTCCGTCACTTGCAGGCGTTGAATAATGTGGTCGTATATAAAACTGTAACTGCTGTCAGCGCTAACCATTGTGCTGTGCGATGTTTAATGTTTAGTCAATGTCGTTATTTTAGACTTGTGATGGCAGATGGTCCAAACTGTGATCTTATGGAAGTAAACTCTGCAACTTTTGCAAACTATGATTGTTCAGTCCATAAGTGTTATAAGCGATCTCTTGTGTAATAAAGAATGATCAAACCAACTGACCAGGCCCGATTTCCATGTATGCGTTTCCGCCGGCGTAGAAGTCGGTTTGATGCAAATGTAATGGGCCGCTTCCATGGGGGCCCTAAACGGCGAAACGCGCAGGGTAGCTCCGCCAAAACGCATACATGGAAAACGGGCTTTACACAGATTTCCGATCAACGATGTATTATTATGTTAGCGAAAACGCGCTCTGGAAAACGGGCTTTACATAGATCTCCCATCAATGATGTATAGTTATGTTAGCACGAATGACGTAGGCTACTTTCAGTTTGATAGTGTCAGAAACGTCAGAATCTATGGACCATGAATTTGGCCCCAAGCGTTACCCATGCCCCACATGTTGTCCCTGTTAGTGTTGTTGCTGTTCGTCTTCTTCTGGGGGGAGACGCTCGTCCAAACGAAGCCTCAGACTCCGCCAATTCAATTTCGACTGAATGAGATCTGGCATGTTTGTTTATTGGAAAATTGTGCATTGATTGCAGACTTCAGTTTTTGGTATGACGAAACAAAACCTAGATGACGTCATATCCGGTCCTTGTTTAAATCGTCCAAATGCTAATATAATATTGGATCATTTGAACTAGATATGTCACATATGTGTAATAAACGTTAATTACCTGTTACAATGTGTCAATTATAATATTCGGACTATCCTCGTGTATCAAAATAACTAGATATGTGTCATTAACATGTAGGCCTACATGTAACGGTATATATGGGCCATTAATATGTACATGTAACTGTATATAAATTGTAAATATGTTTGTAGATAGTTCCAGGCATTATGCGCCTTTTATTCAACTTATAAATAAAGGAGGGTGAATTTCTTAGACTTGTTGTAAATTTATGCATTTTGCCAGTTTTCTTGAATACAAGTTGTCGAGTGATTCCAGATGTGTACGCGACAAATCTGGAAATATAGTCTCTTAAATGTTTTTTGATGGGTAATATATCTTCAGAATCCGGATGATGCCACCTTGGCTCCCTTGGGGAAATTTAAATATTCAGGATGGCCACCATGAGACATTTTCTGTTTATTTAGTGGGGTAAAATATGCGACAGATTCTCTCGGAGGGTTTTTGGATGGTTTCTGTGAGAATTCGACCCGCTGAATCCAATGGCGGCTAATTCTGCTAGGGGGTCAAAGTAACTATTGGGGCTCATTTTGGAAGGAAGCTTATAATATTCCCTAAAAATATTTGTCATTAATTTTACCTCACTAAATTAAAGTAAATATCCAGAAAATTCCTCGGGGTGTCACGGTGGCATTATCCAGCAGGCCCCGAGTTCACAAAGCATTCTCAGACTTATAAAGAGTGATTGAAAGTTGAGTAAATTCTTAACTTAAGTCTAAGAATGCTTTGTGAACTTGGGGCCTGAATCGAAACATATTGAGGATAAATTATCCACCCTAAACCTACATTTCAATATATTACACAACTCTTTAGGTCACTTTAAGAGTTACTTCCAAAATAAACCTCCATTTTGTATTTAACCAACTAGCGGAATTAGCCATCAGCCATCGGGATTCAGCGGGTGGTATTGGGTAGTATTAGGTAGTATTGGGTAAATCGCCCCACCCTTATATAAACCTCTTTCATCCCAAGGTCCGAGATAATAATTTACGTGCACACCAATATTACACTGGAACTCGGTTTTTCGTCCCATCCGAACGACTAAACAACTGTCCTTGTCAGGCCCTCCGTCCTGCACTTTCAGATAAAGAATAAGTTCTATTAGTCGAATAGATGGGAAGGCTATGCTCGACGGAACATGAGATTCGGGGTAATCACACGCACACTTTCCATATTATAAAATCAATTCAGGCATGAATAAAATAGATCTTTAAACAGGTTTTTTCATTTTAATATTAAATTCATTTACAACAGAAAAACAAACCACAAATTCATTAGGACAGACAGAACTAATTATCCACTAATTTATTCGTGATATCGATGTAGAAAATATCACTGATATTATAAAGAAAGCTAAGTTAAGGGAGCCACGGTGGCTCAGTAAACAAGGGTTAGCTTACTAACCAGGGTATCTCAGGTTCGATCCCTGTATAACTAGAGACAATTTCCCGGGAATTTTCTAACCACGTTTCCGCTTGCCAGTTAAGCTTGACGGGGGATCTGATAACGAAGACTGTCTAGTTGTGTCGTTGAGACGGAAACCGAGGTCCCATGCATGTAAAAAAGGGCATTGACCGGGGAAATTCAATACGTATCCCTACCTTGATTAGCCCTGTAGGCCCTGTCTTGATTAGTCATGTAGGCCCTGACTTGATTAGTCCTGTAGCCATGCCTTGATTAACCCTGTACCTGCAGAAATGTACGTAGGACATTAAAACCCATTTCTTTTCATTTAATTAACTGGCGACTTATTTGTGCGTATATTAAATTCAATGAGGTTTAACGTCCTATTTTTCTGCACCGACTGGGATATTTAAGACGGGTATCTGGGGTAGTGACAGTTGGGCTCTGACAATGGTACGGAAAAAAGTGCTTAGGAAAATGGTATATTTTAACTGGCATCATTATTATGGAAAATTCAGCTTGATTCATGCCCCTATATGATAGTCCCTAAATGATCAAGTTTGTGTCAAGTAGACCCCCTCCCCCCACCACCATCAATATCCCCTGTTTGTCTGCAATTGCTCATTTCAGGTGGAAAGGTAAATTAAAACGTTCTATTGAGTCAATAATAAAATCAGCTTACACTCCCTGTCTACAATATCCCGGATCAAATACAATTTATCTGATATCAATCAAAATGTCAAGGAAAATGGATTGAAAATGCACCACTGAGTTAAAGATGCATTAATTATGAGATAAATCTGCCTATTGCAGATCTTTCGTTTGACCTCAAATGTTATGTACATTATTAATTAGATATTTAATCATACAATAAACCAATAATCAACTCTCTAGATCATCGGATGATTGTGATATTGAACGTTTTGAAGATGTTACCGACAATGCACCGGATAATGTACCATCCTGTTAGGCCAGTTCGTTAGGCCAGATCAATCTATTTTTAGGGCCTGCCGACGTAGACATTGACAAAAATGGAATAAAATTGAAAATTGCCTGTTTCATTTTTATTTTTTCTTCCGAAATACACATTTTAACAATGAAATTAATATCTATGCACAAATAAGTGACCCCAGACTTCATCAAAATAGTAAATTATCGCTAACATCCATTATATTTTCCCTGTCATACGATTTCTCCAGAAAATGGCGTCCTGTAAGTCTTGAAATCAACAAAAGGTTATAATAGAACTTAAAGATATTGTCCCGCGTATAAACTACTGGGTGATTTGATGATATATTTGGACTAAAATCATATTCAACTAATTAATCTATCAAAAAATTGCTTCAGATCCCTCTCAAAATCTATTTTTAGAAGTCATGTAATTTGAATGAGAGAGGGCCGATTTTCAGAATGTATTTGTTGTTACTTACTGTCCATTTGTCATACATATTGAAGCCTAAGTAAATTCTTGAATTATCTTCTGCTAATTTTTTTCTCTGGAGTTTAATTGGAGAGTCTTTTGTATGTTAAACCCCTCAGCGTTCCCAAAAAAGCTTAACCATTCGACAAGATATAACGAGCGCTCATTAAGTCAAGCTAGCAGACAATACCCTGATATTTTTGCCCGGGGCTTGCCTCATGGGTGTTTTTCGGGAAATCCAGTATTGTTTCTAATAAGATTGGGCGTCTCTACTTTCCATTTATACAAAACATACCATACTTTTATTGGAAATAACCTTATAAATACTTTCATGGGAATGTATCTTTAATAGAAGTATGTAAACACAACAATCTTCTGTCGTTAAATAAACATGACAGTTCCTGATGCAAGCACCTGTCAACATTTACAACATTTGACAACCTCTGTAGACAGAACAATTATTCCAAATATAAACATGTTTTACACCACGTCAGTTATCGGAAGTGTATTCAATGATTCATGCAATCAGATCACAACAGGCCAAGGCCATTCTCAACCAATGAAATATGGGGCACGTTTATTACAACTCAGATGGTGTGTGTGTGATGGGGGGGGGGGGAGGCATTAAGTGACTTAAAAATTGCTTAAAAACTCCTCTATATTAGGCTTTAGTAAAATAATCATATTGTAATATATATTTGTATATCTGGGTTTTTTTTACATGATCGATTTTGTGGATATTTTTTGATATAAAAAAGACATGTAGGAGATTCTCAAGTTTTCATATAAGTTTATATATTTCTTTCTTGTTATTATGCTACATCTGAACAACCTATTCAAAATCAGTTTTATTTTTATTCCCTGCTTCGAAATGGATAAAGGAATTTTTTCGACCGAGAAACAGAAAAATAAATTGGTGGGACCTTATCCAATTATACGTATAGAAGCGTTTAAATTGCGTCACAACAAAGGCTTTAGCATGATAGAACAATGGTATAACTCTCTACAAGTTTATTCAAAATCACCATTAATTGATCAGAGTGTTTATAAGCCGATTAAAAGGTTTTCGGTGGCAGTAAGCTTATGCCAGTCGTAATAATACTTGTCTTGTCTTAGCGATGTTAACTAAAAGCAACGCCGCGCCGGGCGCGATTTCTTGCTTTTTTCAATTCACATCGTTATCAGTTTAAAATTTCGTTTTCCTTGTCTTTACTACACTAGGATCTGTGTAAAACTATCTTACAAATAACAGAAGATTAGCATAATTGATAAGACCTTTATTGAGAACACGAAATAGACATAAATCGGGAGGAGCTCTATTCCAAGTCTGACTTGCTGTCGTTGTTTGTTAGTTGTATTTTACGTCCGCTTCCACCGAGGTAATATCACAGACTTGCTGTCAGTAAACGCCTGCTTTATATAGCGTCTAACAATTACGCCCGGCCCATACCGCTACGACTACACACAACCCGACAGAACTCAGCGTCTTGGGTAGTTTTAAAAAAAACATCGGGTCGCGTCTTTACTTCACTTGCCTACAACGGTAAGAGTCCACACAGGCCCGACTCTCACAGATTATGCGTCGTGAGTTACGCCACTTCCCTCTAGCGAGACTCATCCTCTCTCTCTTCTGTCCAAAAATCTGCCATCTTGAATTTCCCCGGGAAAACAAGGAGCACATGACCTGCACAGTCACATGACTAAATGTTACTCTCTGATTGGCTAAACAACAGTAAGACAATTGATCGTGTCGTGTGAGTGTCCACAAAAACACGATGGGTTACGACTGCATCCAACTGCATCCGACTACGACTGAACATGCTCAGTCGGGCCGACGGCCACAACGCGACGGAAATCGATTGAATCATGGTCGTGGGACTGTCCACACTGCACTGATTATCTGAGACAAGACGTTGCGTTGGGTAGAGTCTGGGCAAGTCGTGGCGGTGTGGGCCGGACTTTAGGGAAGATGGACAGGAGTGATCACCATATATGGTATTGTGTATTTATCAAATTATGATGTCTGTAATTACACTGCATATTTCTTTGGAAGTCGTTGTCAGGTCAAGGTATGATGAACTGGCCACTAATGCATTCTCTTTGAATTTCTGTCGAATTATACTCGGATCACGTGTAGCTTGTAAAGAACATATTGAATAAATTAGTTGTTTAATAAGACCGTGCCTTAACAGAAGTTTATAGAGAGTTTAAACGTCAACTTCAGGTATAGATCACTTTGTCACATCTGGAAGAGTTGTTATATTACCCTCGTTCTTGTTGATGTGATCGATTAGCCAATGAAACGGTCTGTTACGACAAGTTCTTGGCGTGTCTGTGCATTGAACTGTGGGTATCCCACTAGAACATCAACGCTGATTGGTTAATCAAATGTCTGATGTCATATAGTCAAAAGTCGTTCGTATGACCCCTGACGCAACCTCCCACTACAACCGGTCAAGTATTCATGTAGTGGAGGTCATCGAGAATATAAAAAACAAACGGAATATAGATCTGTATTTTAATCAGATTGTATAAAATGAGATGGCGAATTCACTTCGGTTTCCGGTCTGTACATGGCATGTGCGCTCTTAAAGTTCAAGCTTCAATTTTCGGTGTTTCTACAACTGCGCACGACAATGTAAACCGGAAAACCAAGAGAAAAAATTTCGCTTCTGATTATTTCTTGCATTCGCACATTAAACTCTTAAAACCATCATATATGTTTTATCAAGACTGTCACAGTTGGCCGTAGATTAAGTAGGCCCTGCAGAAATTTGGCTAATATCAGTATTACATGAGTTCCTTCTTGCCTTCGCGTTAACTAATGCGAAGCCTGGTTAACACTGCTTGTTGATGAAAGAATATTATCACATGGGCTATACTATATACCGGAAAACACCGAAAAACACCGGAAAACAACGGAAAACACCATGTTATACTGAATACCGGATTACACCGGAAAAACACTAAATACCGGAAACACACTAAATACCGGAAACCACCCTAAATAGGTAACCCAGAGAAGGGCTATTCTATAAACCGGAAACTAACCCTAACCCTAACCCAGGCACACAGAGGACCAGACTCCCGGTTAGCTATTTAGGGTACCAGTCTCCGGGTTACCTATTTATGGTATTTTCCGGTGTTTTCCGGTATTCAGTATAAAATGGTGTTTTCCGGTTGTTTTCCGGTGTTTTCCGGTATATAGTATTGCCGTTATCACATCCTTCTTATTTTATAGAGATGAAGAGTCTTACATAGAATGGACGACAAAGTTACTGGTGTGCTTATGTTACCTTGCCTGGTAAACTACCTCTGATGACGAAATACTTGTTTTATAGAGAAAAAGCTACTGGTGTGCTTATGTTACCTTGCCTGGTAAGCTACCTTTTGTACTTTAAATATGTACCACTACCTGTTGATGAAATAATTTAACACACCCTACCTGATTTATAGAGATAAAGCTACTGGTGTGCCTATGTTACAGTGCCTGGCAAACTACCATTTCTTTTACATCATCAGCGGGGTTGGATTGTCCGAATGGTTAGCACGTGCGTGCTGTATCATACGGCCTGTCATTGAGTCAACTGGCGTGGTTTCGAATCCTCGGTTGTACGTGACAAAGAGTAGGGTCGCCTGTCCAACCTTGTGGGTTTTCTCCGGGTCCTCCCACTGCTAAAGACCCCTACGCGCCAGCGAATTAGTGAAATAAAATTAAACCATATGTTAGTCCCGAAATGACCTAGTTTGTGTCGAGTGGACGTTAAACCCCATTTCTCCCTCCCTCCCTTTTCACGCTTTTAGCTTTTAGCTTTTCTTCCTGGTACCGCTGACACCGTATACAGTCCCAACACACAAAATGAAGATTAAGTATCTTCTTAGTTTTAAGATTGCTCTCTCTCTCTCTCTCTCTCTCTCTCCATCATCAGGCATGATAAAGAAATTAAGTTTTTGAAGGCACGTGTTCGTATAGACATTTTTTTATTATGCAATCAATTTTTTTTATTATGCAATCCATTACCCCATTAAATATTCTAAAGAAATCTATAATTTCTGTTTTACCTTGGATACATAGGATAAACGTCACGGTTTAACTTGGGCTTGGTGCGTTTTATATTGATTGCCTCAAGAAGTTTCCGGGGTTTCTTCTGGTGGTGGTATACTGCAAGGGTTCCTGTTCGGCCCCATAGAATTCTATGATGTCCGTGGTTAATAATATGCTCTGCTACGGATGAAGAATTGGTGGAGGCTAGTGACTTGTGCTCTTTTATTCGTACATCGTGTAGACTTACTTACACAGAATTCAAGTATATTTATTGGTCAATAAATTAAATCACCATGATAGATGGTATAAGGTTTCATCTGATTTGATTGTATTGTATCAGTTTCAACAAGCACAGAGTGGAATTATTGACGAGAACAATCCAGACATTGACCGTAGTTACGGTGTAATGGCGACTGATTGGCTCGCATATATAAATAAATGAACATATTGACGTAAATAAGTGATTCTTTGTTTTATACTAGTTGTTTATTTAATACAAAATGAGAAGGTATACCTGTTGAATAGATATATAATTATCGTTACCTGTATACCTGTAATTAAATAACAGGTATACATGAAGCATACCTTAATTAAACAATAGGTGAATATGAAGACAGTCTGTAAGTGAATGACCACTGATTTACAATAAAGTCCAGACTCTGTGCAGTCTCTTTAATCAATTCGCTAATAGAACGACAATCAGATCGTATTTGTGGAGTTCCACTAATTTTTGTCTTAGATCCAGATCAGTAACATTCAATTATCTCCTTAGTGTATGGATATATGACATTTTGTGGGTAGCGAATTTATTTTTAAAAAAATGTTTTATATAAATTTGTTCCTGATATTTGTGGCACAATGGACTACTTCATCAACTGGTAGGCTAAGTATTTTATTATTTTAACATTAAAGATACATTATGTAAGATTTAGATAAAGAGCTAGCCATTCTTGCTATAATCGTTCGAAATTAAATAATATAAAATGAATAATTTAAACATTTCATTCAGATTACTCTATTGCGAGCGAAGATATTAGCCTTTGCAGGTTTGACAAGATGTGTGCAATAATTTCAACCACCGTAGCTTAAATCAAAATATGGCTGAATTGTTCTAATCTATTTAATATTGGACAAATCCGATGCCACCGAGAGTTGATTATGGCCTGGATAAGTTAATTAATGTCTAATTAATAATTCAGAAAACATTTAAGGCCTAAAGAAAGACCTGCAATAGGCAGATTTGGTTGTTTAAACAACACTGGATCTTATTTACTGAAAGTGTTATGTGTGTACTCCTAAATGTTTGGTTTGGGGTTTTGTAGCTTTTTAAAAGTCCTTTTATGTTGTAATTTAGGGTGACTCCGAGCAGTAACATAGCTATCAGGAATGGGTCGAAGAACTCGGTCGATTTTCTGGTAAAACACAAAAGAAAATATTTACATAGCACGCACGGTTCTTAAAATAACAAATGCAACGTTTATTAAAATAATATCGATTTCAATCACTCTGAAACGATTTTAGTTGAATTCATCTCCCCTACGAAATTTTTTACAACATTATAAGTGCATTGTTTAAAATTATAACTATATAAAGAGTTTAATAATTATATAAATATAAGCTTTAAATTTCAAGGAAGAATGTATAAAATCAAAGAACTGTATAGTCACAGAGTAAAAATTTACTCTGTGGTATAGTGCAGCTACCGTTTTATCACCACTAGCGTCCTCTGTTGCCATAATATTCAGGAAAGATGAATTTGGAGAAATGTTTTTGACATTGGTTTTGCGAGATTGGTATTTGGAGAACTGTATTTTGAAATTTGCTGTTCAAAATTTGTGTTTCGTTGTAAAATTGGAATTCATTTATTTTATTTTTCAGTTTCCACATGTACGAAGTTTATTGGTGAGCCAAATTTAATTGCTACGGTGATGGTAGAAGGTCGATGTATGTATGGTTTTTCTGTTGGTTATCCGTATAATGCTGCCAGGATTCTGTGTGAATCAGAAGGAACCCAACTTGTTACTTTACAATCTGATGCAAAACAAGAAGCGGTGTGGACAGCTCTTAATGGTATGTTGTACATATACTGTTTCATAATTTCCATAATTCACTTGTGCGCAGTTTCTTTAGCATGGGGGGTGGGGGAGAAACCAAGTGAGGGTGGGTACTGGCTGGAAATCGAAACAACAATCCTTGGCCGAAGACGGGCCTTTTGATCAAAATTTAAAACCCATACGTTTGATCAGGACAACGGACCGGACGCAAAAAACAATGTTCCGTGTACACATTGGCGTGGAAAGATCTCTTGCAGTTGAAATTCTATAGGTGCAACTGTATGGGCGAAATTACCCTCATAGCACACTGTATGGTATCCTCAGTGACCTCATTCCGTTCCCCTTCATTAACCTGTGGGTTCTTCCATGGGAGAGACACGTATCCAAATTATCTGCCCTTGATGATTGTGCTATTTTTATCAACGAATCAAAAAATTCGTTAAATACATAAAAACTGACATAAAACATTTTCCCCATCCAGAGATGTTTCAGGACATCTTTTGTCACTTTTCTTATATTAAATTTCTTGCAAACTTTGTCATAATCGACCGAAAAAGTCGCCATATTGTTGTGAACATAATCATTGGGACTAAGACTGGTTTGTAAACTGTAAACGATCAAGGACAAATATAAGGCGTTTCAGATTGGGTGGCTTTCTTTGTGATTTAATGAATTGAACATTGTCAAATTTCGTTCTGAGGTTGTCGTTTGATGCCATGATTGTTTTTAAAAAGGTTTGGATGTTGGGGGTTATAGGTAGCAACAAATGATATTTTACTTTAATAGCCCTCAATGTTTGGATATCAATTGCCAAAGCCTTATTTATCCCAACTATAGTGTAACGTCCAGACTAAAAAGAAACCCTACATTCGTTAACATATTTTAGGCGCCTGTAATAAATGGACAGAATGGTATGATCGAGATAATGTATCAGGAACTGGTGATTTGGAAACTCTTACAATTCTTCGTGAAGAGAATCCGGGCCAGATTTGTGAACAACCATTAGCAATAGATGCTCAATTATTAGATGGTCGACCTTATACTGCTAGTGGTGAAATAGTTACCATTAGTCCAACTACTGGTTTAATTTGTAAGAATAAAGATCAGATTGATGGAATATGTGATGATTATAGAGTTAGATTCTGCTGTGATCCAAGTAAGTTACCTTTTACACTCTTACAGTACATATAATCTTACATGTCACCAGACATATACCCACCAGATTAACTATAAAATTAGTGTTTGACTTTCTGATAAACAGGGAGGGGGGGGGGGGGGGGCGGGCGAGTGGTTAGCACGTGCGCGCTGTTTCTTAACGTCTGTCATTGAGTCAAATGGCGTGGTTCTGAATCCTCGATTGTACGTGACAAGGAGTAGGGTCGTCTGTCTAACCTCGGGGTTTTCTCGAGGTCCTCTGGTTTTCTCCTACGGCTAAAGACCTCTACGCGATGGCGAATTATTGAAATAAAATTGAATCATATGTTAGTCCCAAAATGACCTAGTTTGTGTCGAGTGGACGTTAAACCCCATCTCTCTCTCTCTCTCATTAAAATGAGGGATTAACAGAAATATAAGAATAATGGAAACGTGTAATTGAATGAATGAAAAATGAACGAAGGAATTATTGAAAGAATAAAATAGAAACAGTTCATAAATGTATCACTATTATAGTATTAATTTACAATTACTAAAGAAACACATCAACAAACATGACGTTGTCATAAATAGCGTCCAAACACTAGCATAGTGTGTCCGCTTCGCCGAAGCATTCGCCCGATTGCAGAATTATTTAGTCAATCACTACTCACCATCCACTCATATCGAGAAATCACGCAAATTGAAGATTATGTGTCTCCGCCATTATTAATCATGTGACGTGAAAGGTGATGCAATCGCCAAGTGTGTCCACACATTCGGCCGAATGAAAATCGGTGCCGATTGATTTGGCCGAATGATTCGGCCAGTGTGTCCACATGTTCCTACATTAATGTCTTGTTAAAATAAAGCAGTTTTGGGGCTAGTAATATATGTCTGTATTGTAATAACTACATTACCAATAGAAAAATATGTTTTTAAAACTTTTAAAAAAAATTGAGCAGTAAATGGGACATATCCTTGCGTTATCCCCAATAGGTTTCAATTTCGATCAGCATTGGATGGGACTGAAAAAAAGAAGAGGTATATGGCAATGGAACGAAGATGGTGTTTTAATAGATGTGACGTCAACACGATGGGAGAATGTCCAAGGTTCAAATAATGTCGCCTACACCATGTCTTCACAGGGTATATATTTATGGAAGATGACGAATACTGATAGTCGGTATAAACCTGTATGTGAAGAAATCTCAGGTATGTTTAAAATATAGTCTCGACTTGAGGTTTATAAATTTGATGATGTGTTTCGTTGAGCACAAAAAGGTTATTGGTTCTACCCTTTAGAATGACAGATCTGTTACGGCCACAAGGAATATGAATGAAATCGCCCAATCGCTTGTAACTGTTGACATTATACAAGCGTGGACATAGATCACTCGGCAAACCTCAGCAGACTCCAGTATCCTACATCTAGCATCATATCAGCTCTGTGACGATGGATGTCCGCCATTGGAACTACTTTCAAGTTCCCGGATTACAGTGGCGTCGCACACGGCATTTGAGGGATTTTTTTTATCGTATAAAGCATTCATAGTCTGAAGCTGTTTTAAACGAGGACAACTTTGCTGTGAAAAATCTACACACTCTTCGAACGGCGCAATTTTGAGACACGTTTTCCTAAAAAGTAAACCGATAACGCATCGCAATTGTATAGGTGTAGGTACATATCACCTACCGTCATACAGCCGAGGCTAGATGTAGAGTACGGGAATCTGCCGAGTGGGATACAGATAAGACGGGTGATTTAAGGGGGAAATGGTGGAATGGTCAAGGCAGTCGAAATGCGATCTGTGCGTCCCTCTACGTAATTTAAAACATCACCACACGGGATGGGAGAGACCATTGACTATGGATACCCTGCCGTTTAAGATAGGTACACTAGTTTGCCCGTCCCATACAAATTCTCGTGCACCCATGAATGATTGGTATATATTTCCAACTGTTGATTTGCGAAACAATTATCATCATTTATTTCTAATTGGTCGTTTTATACAACTATAACTTTTATTGAGGCAGTCATAAGTAACCTTTTCGTAAAGGTGACGTGCGATTGTCCCCGAACGTAGTTTTAAAGTCAACGATTGGTAAAAATTAAAACAATAATTCATGGGCAAGAAGTTTTGATATATTTTCTTTAAGCATATATCTATAATGTCAATAATTTAAACAAATTAATTATTCAAGAAGGAAGTTAAACTTCATTTAATTCGTGTCCATTCAGCAATTTGGACTTCATAATGGCTGAGATTTTAATATTTATAATAAATATAAATTGTAAAACGTAAATATATAAATAAAAATTAACTATCTTGCAGATACCAGCAGCAGTGCTATTCCGGTATCTCACACAGAAACCTCAACTGTTGCGGCTCCTACTACGACACCACCAGGTAAATACAAAACATTAAACTAACATTGAAACGAACTTGTTCTCAAGGTAACATGTACTTTAAACTTTGTAACATAGAACCGTGAAACCAAGACAAAGAAGATGTTGTAATTATATGGTGTAGTGCGATTAAACGTCGATATTATAGTAATGGAAATATTTGATCTCACGTGTTTAAATACATTTGGGTGAGGATAAGTGGTGGGGGCGGGGGTGTGATAGAGATGAATATTATACTGATCTGTATACTGAAAGAGATTAGTAGATTGCACTTAGTCATTTTCATACACTCACATTTCATGTAGCGGTAAACTGTTGTCAGGGTCGCCAAAAACTTACAACCGCTTCAAAATTCTGTTTGTTTTTAGATATGCCTTTTGGTTATCAAGCCTATCGAAATTCAGACGTTGGGTCTTAAAACCTTAACGTTAAAGTCGCCCCTTTACAAAAAACCTACTGGTCGACGTATAATATTCTTTGTCTGACAGTGCTATGGTCACATCAAGAATTGCGGAGGGGCGGCACTATAATACGGCCTACTCTTATATCAGGAGGGGTCTTTTACGTGCACGCCAATGTGTACAGGGGACCTCGGTTTTTCGTCCCATCTTAACGACTGGACAGCTGTCCTTGTTAGGCCCTCCGTCCTGCATCACTGACAAGGGAGAACCACGCTGGGTAATCTGGATGAACTTTCTCGGCCAAACAGATTACCGGACTTTATTAGTAGTAATTAGGCTATAAAATGAAATGGGGTTTAATGTCCTACTGTTCTGCACCGACTGGGATAATGAGGACAGTGGTTTTGAAGTATAAATACCGTTGCACCTCTGCTCGTATAGCTTGACGATATATTCCGCCCCATTTTAGTTTCCCTCTAAATACTAATCCATCGCGTACTTCTCCCTGGCCTGTCGATAATAATTGATTCTTACACAACGATAGAAAAAGAGTAAACCCTCCAAATATCCTTTACAAAATTGCGGCGTAGTAATTAAAGGCAATTCACCAAATCCTAAGCAGGTAATATAACCGCCATGGTTATGCAGATTCCTGCATCGGTTGTATTCTTTCCTTATGAGACTCTCAGTATAAAATTTCCTGTGCACAATAAGGATGATATAACGGCGAATAACCAATGTTCTGCGATATTTTTTGCCGAAAGATAGATTGTTTCTAACGTTTTGTCCAATCTGTTTCACAGAGGGTTACGAAAGTCTTCTAATATCTCTGTAAAAGGTGACTGCAGCCTTCAACACGTGACGTCGTATCACGCGGCGTCAATCATTGGCTCAATGGCGCGTGAATTGTTTACACGAAACGTTACTGGTTCGGGCAGAATGGTGTCTTTTATTCCTTTTAATACCCATTCACACGCAATGGCGGTGGCGTCATTCCGGTCTACTTTACTTACCCCTGGGTTTATCCATGGGGTATTCGCGTATTCAAATTATCTTCCTTGATCGTAGCTTGATTCTACGAACAAATCAAAAAACAGCTTATAAACCAGTTTTAGCTTCATTGCTTACGTTCACAACACTATGTCGACTTGTCTGTTGCAACAAGATGTGATTTACTTCCTTTCGCAAACTTCGTTTGTATAAACGATTTTGTTTGATTGGTCGAAAAAAAATAGCACCATCATCAAGAGAAGATAACTGGAATACACGAATTCTAGCGGCGTGGAACGGAATGAGACCACTGAGAATACCGAGGATGCCCAATCGTGAGAGAACTATCCCAGAGTTCTGAACATCAAGCGGTTCAACACAACGAAGCCATAAATTGTGTCAAATCCTCCATGAATATAGATATACGTCAACTGCCGTAATAAATAACAAATTATGAAAAAATATTTTTTGTTTTTCAGTAACAAAAGAGATGTCAGTTTTGTATGACCGTCACTTGCAGACGTTAAATAATGTGGTCGTATATAAAACTGTGACTGCTGTCAACGCTAACCACTGTGCTGTGCGATGTTTAATGTTTAGCCAATGTCGTTATTTTAGACTTGTAGTGGCAGATGGTCCAAATTGTGATCTTATGGAAGTAAACTCTGCAACTGGTGCAAACTATGATTGTTCAGTCCATAAGTGTTATAAGCGATCTCTTGTGTAATAAAGAATGATCAAACCAACTGACCAGGCCCGTTTCCCATGTATGCGTAGAAGTCGGTTTGATGCAAATGTAATGGGGCCGGTTCCAAGTAACCGGCGAAACGCGCGCGGAAATCCGCAAAAACGCGCACGTGAAAAATGGGCTTTACAATGATGTATTATTATGTTAGCACGAATGATGTAGGCTACTTTCATTTTTAGTCAGAATTTTTGGACCATGAATTTGGACCCAGGTGTTACCCATGGCCCATATGTTGTTTTTGTTAGTGTTGTTGGTGTTCTTATTCTGTAGTAAATTGCGCATCGATTGGCGGACTTCGATTTTTGATATGACGAATCAAAACCAAGATGACGTTATATCCTGTCCTTGGTCAATTGTACACTCGTACTTGTTTAAATGGTTCAAATGTTAATTTAATATCGGATACTAGATATGTCACACGTGTGGAAAAAACGTTAATTATCTGTTAAAATGTGTCAATTATAATATTAAGACTATCTTCGTGTATCAAATTAAACTAGATATTGACCATTAACATGTAACTGTATATAAATTGTAAATATGTTTGTAGATGCGCCTTTTATTCATCTTTATGGTTTGGATTTATAAATAAAGGACAGTAAATTTCTTAGACTTGTTTAATTTTATGTTTTTTGCCAGGGCTGTCATCTTTCTTTACTTGAATACTAGTTGTCCAGGTGTGTACGCGAAATTATTTTTTTTCGTTCTTTTTAAAGTGACTCCCGAAAATGAAATCGAATATTCTTTTTTTAACACATTAAATTTATATTTTAACAAATATGGGCAACGTTCGTGTTGACGGGTCAGTCTCTTTAAAATGAACTGGTGTGGATAAGACGGGGTTATACCGGATATTAGTCAGGTGATAATGACAGGAGCGGATATAATTTATTTATCATACCGGATGCTGTTTGACACAGTATCCATTCAGTCTGAAAATAGAATAAGAAAAGATCTTGACATTTAACCCTAGACATCCTTAATGTGTCAATTTATATAATGTATTTATTGCCTATTTTATCTAATTCTTTTTAAAAAAAAAAAACATAATTGAAAATAATTCTCTTTAGTCATTAAGAACACCTTACTATATCAAGTTGTACATATCTTTCTTTGAAAAAACATAATTTGATTTTTAACAAAAAAGTCGGCAGAAATAATTTATTTGTAACCTATCAGCGATGTACTTCAACACTGACAAGGGGAAACCACCTCAGAAAAACCCAATGAACTTTCTCGGTCAACACCGCGATCGAACACGGGACCTTCAGGTTAACGAGTCAACGTCTAAGTCACTGATCCACTGTGGCTCCTAATAAGAGAAGTATTATGGCGTTCACACGATGTGTTATCTGCTATATCTACTTGAAATACAACGGTATTTCACTTCAAGATTACTAGAAGGGCGCTGTGCCGTTATTTATCATCGTCGAGTATCTTTAATTGTCAGCCATAATTTCCGAATTTATTCATAGATCTACGGATACCGACAAAATCTATTTATTTCAAAAATAAAAATGGGGTTTAGCGTCCTACTTACCTGCACCAACGAGGCTAATAAAGACGGATTTTATTTCAGACAAAACGGTCCTTGAGTAGTTGATTAAGGGGACGCAACTCCTATAGGTTTAAAGCATATTTCAATGTTCTGTCAAGAATTAACACGTGCTAGCCAAATGTCAACCAAGATTTATGGCAGTTTGACTTTATGTCTATTTTCATCATGACCTATCAATGTCAGATATTTTCGACTTTATTCACAAAACACATCAAACGGATAAGGCTTTAAAATGTAATGAGACTGACAGTTAACAGTTATGACAAAACCCCGAAAAAATGCTTCTTTAGTTACACTTTTAGGTTAATAATTGAATATGAATGTCAAAAGTGTCTGTTATGAATTCCAATTATCCAAAAATCTCAGGTAGGCCTAAATATCTTACTACAAATATGCCTATTAATAATACCTAAAAGTTTGATTATCAAACAATTGGACCAAAAGTGGAAGACATATGATCAGATCACAACTATTGCTAACTAGAAGAGTTATTAAAACAATTGGTGCGGTGTATTTATTTTTGGTTTACTATTTACAAATGTATGTCATGTTCTATGATGTTAAATAGATAATTACAAAAAACGAAATCGTATCGTCGACTTGACAAAATAGTCAAGGTCAAATCCATTACCTCTTAGAATACAGTATAATAGTCATATAGTCAAATCAATTCAGATCGGTAAAATCCTCTTAATTGTATTTATTACACAATTAATACTTGTGAAAATAAGCAAACAAAGTAAACCATTTCACTAAAAATAGCAAAAATAATCAGATATGTGTGACGTTAAATTGGTGACACATAAATAATCTAGAGATTTACTCATAGATCAGCGATTTCCTGGTTAACCTTAGTCAGATTTCAGATTCATACCTTTTCATAATTATGAATAAGCTTATTACACATCGGGTGATCGATATCAATCGATTAATTCACGGTTATGGAAAGTCATAATAGGACCATAATGATTTGTTTTTAATACTTGTGTATACTGTGTGTGCGTAATGCAAGACATCTGTAACGCTGATAAATGATTATCGATTAGGTTGTAAAAAACGTGATTCGCTGCGTTTGAATTGGTACTTAAAACAGGAAACGACCTACTACGGTCTTTTCCATATTGTATCTATTTTTGTGGACTGTACAATTGACAATACAACTCCAAACAAGCCAGAACACGTGTCCTATTCAATTTCTATCGATACAAATAGAGCTATTGTTGAATTTATAAATATTGAAAAATAACTTCAATGAGGTCCTGGTAATCGGAAATTGAATTCTGGACATGTTGCTGCATGAATATTTAACTGGGTTTCTCGATCAGAGGACATCGACTGAGAGGAGTTCGATTCTACAATCGTATTAATGCACTTTCTTCCACATAGCCTTCGTGATGCATATTTATATGTCTGAATTTACTTTCTTTTATAAGTCTATAATATTATACGTTTTCGAAAATTTAGTTGACAGCCGAACGGTATATTTTTGGTAACAATTTTTACCATTCTATCTCACGATTAAAAAGTGCAGTAATAATTACCCATAATATGTGTAACAAACTATTTATGATTTAACGTATTATGTAGTTAATGGCGTGATTAAATTAATAAATGTGAAACCGGTGGACCTGGTCGCCATTACGCAATTCCGTACCATTTAATAACTTTTGCTGGCAGTGTGGCACGTCTGTTTCGGCATCCAACAACCGTCATCAAATTTTAGTAAACTGACAGTCTTGCTTCGAAATATGTGCGCACACCTATAACTGGAATATTCTAGTTTGAATTTGATCCCATGGTGTTTAAATGGTCGTAAATATATTCAAAAGTTCCAAAATCAGAAGACAACTCAAGTGATACTCTCTGTTTCATACTTTACAGAACTCTCTGTGTTTGCCCTTGTTAAACACCATAGTATCAAGGAAACAATTGTTACTGCCATGTGAGATTTAATGCAATAGCTTAAATTTATAGCAAGCTAAAAAAAAAAATTAAATTGAAGTAACGAATAAGTAGTCCTCACAGACAAGAGTTCAACTTTATCGAGAGTAACCGTTCTTGCTTGTTTTTAGTTTATTTATCTAAGCATGAGTATATTGTTTAGCTGTGTTCTATCTCTGTTATTGTTTATGTCGCATGTCGGTCTGACTCCCAGCTGATGATTTCAACTGCTGGTATTTTTCCGGTCTGATTGAACAGAAAGACGCTAAGAAAAGAAAGATGTTTGAAGGTTTATGTATAAACATGGATAAGTATACTTGTCTGGCTGATCTCTCTTATGTAACTTTTAGCATACACTGAATGCATCAGTGCCCCAAATGATGTGCAATAAGGCGTCATGTGCGTCCCATAAATTCTGCAAAACAAAAAGCCTTGAACTGTACATAGCGCGATGAATATAAAGGAAGACATAACACGCCATGTGGGTTATTTTAACGACACGGTGATGTGAATAGGTGAACGGGAAAAAAACAGTAAGTTAGATCAGGAATCGGCCTTGAAAAAGACAATAATCTAGCAGTTCAAACTGTACGATAAATCTGTGGTTAGTCTCTTACCGATTTGATACGGTTCACTGTCCAGTGGACTCAGTCAAAAACATCAGTTCCCTGTTTTGTTTTCGTACACAACCAGTTTTAGAACTTATAAAACAAGTTCATTTCTCATTTTACATAAATTCACATGTTTGTCGTTGTCTTTATATTATGATAATGGAACACCCTGTTAAAACTATTCAACACCCTACCGTTTATTATTATCAAAAATCTTGAACTTTGTGTTGTTTATTTAAATATTTATCACAGAGTCTACTTTCATCTTTTGAGTACTGTACGTATTGTATATTATGTATGTCTACCATTTTACGTACAAGGATGACACAGCTTAATTCTCTGCTTTTGCCAATAAAGGGGGTAGTGAGGTGTAACAGCATGCTATATAATATATTGTGTATTAAACCCGGATCCTTAAAGTTAATTACATTTTACCCCGACTTCTACAGTTCAGGTGGTGTTTTGTCTGATTATTTATCTTGATACCCTTCCTGGAGATTGCTACTTTTAATCTTATCTAAGCAAACAATACACGCAAACTACTTTGGCAGAGACCAAAGAAAAACACAATTGAGACAATTCCTATATTTCGTCTGGGAATTTTTAAGACTGCAGGTATTCAGGGTCTGGTAGCCATATTGGATTTGTTTATTGTTTTAAACATACACTCCAAAACTACCAAAAACCCAAAGACATTTTCGGCTCTTAGCACATCTACATTGGAGTGTCCAATTATTTTTTAAAGGAAAGTCTGTAGGTCCGGATGTCAGATGTAATAATTTATGCATTTAAATTAAGTCAAAGCAACAGGACATGAATAATTCAGACATGCTTCGCTGAGCTTATGTAATTGTACGTTTCTATGGTTGTCAGTATTTTAATGTATATTTACAAGCTGAAATGTAAATGAATGCGCTATATTTAAATGCCCACAGCACGTACTACGATGACATACGATATGGTTCAGGTAAACCTATCCTTTAAAGACTTTAATGTCACTCAAGAACGATTGAAAACTACACGAACCCCGAACGGCACGAACTCCGAACATTAAACGTAATGAAATCTGGTTTAACGTCCTACTTTTCTTCACCGACTACGCTAACGAAGACGGACATACGTCATACAGTATGCTATGAGGTAGTCTCTAAACCCCCATGCAATGATGATATACAAACAATATAACATTTGGAATGTAAGTCCTTGGACCTAATATTATGAAACGTGGAACATGAACTATGATGTATCACAACCATATATAGTATGAACCATGTACATAATAAACTGTAAAACATGAACCTAATATTATGAAACGTGGGACATATATAGAATGAACCATGTACATGCAGTGCCATAATAAACTGTAAAGCACGAAACATTTAGTGGGCGAACAGTAATTACAGACCGGGCGGTGCACGAAAAGAACCATTAGAACTAGATCACAATGGCAGAACTAGAATTTCAG